GTGACAACCCTGGACAGGCCAGCAGAGGCCCAGCATGGAGGCATGAAAGCCCAGAGTACACAGGGAGAAAACCGGGGGTGGCAGGGTGGGTTGTGGACGTGGGGCTGGGGGAAACCAAGAGGGGAGCAGGGGAGAGAAGCTGCTGTGACTCTGAAATTTCCACCAGGAAGATAGAATCCAAGTATTGAGRCAGCTGAGAGTACCTTTTGATTCAGCTTTCCTGAGCACTGCTGTGCAGGGGCTCTGAAGCCTGATGTGGGGATCGCAGAGCCTGGTCCCGGTCCATACCACCCTGGGAACAGAGTTGTGTTGTCAGTTCTTTCTGGGTGCCAGAAAGTGCCTTCTCCATGGATCGCCTTGTTTAATTTGGAGCATTATTATCTCCCTCACTGACAAAAATCCCCAGCCCGTGAGCAGGGTCTGCATGGCCGTCGGGGACAAAAGGTATCATTATGGTGTCTTAACTAGCACTCCAAGAGCCAACAGTCAGGGTAACCCTAGCTTCACTAGAAAGTCGGGCATGGGAGGGTCCATGAGAAGCTGTTTTTCAGACCCTGCTATGATCACAGGTGAGATTCAGAACGTTCCTATCTCTGCTATTTCAGCCCAGCAGTGGCCATGCTGCTCAAGGACATTTCCCTCCAGTTCACCTTGGAAAGATGTGGGTGTGACCAGGCAGTGGAGCAAGGGGGCAGGGAGCCTGAATGGCAGGACAAGGTTGCAGTGTGGCTAGCAAGGTCTGATGGAGGGCGGAGAGGACCACAAAGCCACATGTCAGGGAGCTCTCAGGGGGCCAGTGGGAGCCACAGAGAGCAGCAGGTGGCAGGTTCCTGGTAGTTTCTGGTTTGGGGGCAGCTCAGAGTCAGGGCTAACCAGAGGCCATATTCTACCTCTGAGGAGCAGTAGGGCTGGGAATAGTAGCTGGGATGAGCTGTCTGTCATAAGGTGGGAGGAGCCAGTGAGACTCCAGGAGAAGATAGGCACAGATGGGGTCCTGTGAATGTGTCCAAACCCTGACCCTTCCTCACCATGCACTCATGTAGTCTGTGCGGTATAGCCAGCTGGAAAGACCTGGTGCTCTCCTGGCAGGGCCCCTTTTCTTGGGTAAAGAGATTTTTACCTCCAGCAATGAAGCAGGTAGCTAGTGCCCACAGCCCCCAGGCAGCTCACGGAAACGGGCCGTGCAGTTCCAGGGCTCCATTCCTGCACAGAATTAATTCTTCTCTCTCAGGGCCCGTTTCCCTGGTACTGTTGATCCCACTGCAAATGAGAAAGTGTTTTGAGCCTTCAGCAAGGGAAAGACTCAAAGAGTATTTTCTTGTTTTAATTAGCTTTATTTGATTTTAAAAGCCCCATAACGCACTTGGTACCTGGGGGCCTCATGATCCGAATGAGTTATTCAAATCACTTCCTAGTAAGTTCAGTGGCAGGTGTCCCATGCCAGGCATCTCACAAGTGACCTTGATGTTCAGATGAAGTTCACAGCCAGTCTCTAGCAGGAGTGTTGACAGGGAGACCCTCCCGCCTACCTGCTTCTGGACCTTCTTCCTGCCTTGGCACCATTTCTGTCTCCTCTGCCACAAGCCACTGCCTGTCCTGCTCACCTGTAGTTCTGGATGAGCAGAGGGGGCTTCAGGCCTATTTATGTGTGGGGGTTCCCCTAGACCCTTACTTCTGTTTACTCTGGGTCTGACCCTTTGCCCATGTGGCCTCTGTCCCAGAGATGCTTGTCTACCCACAGGGGAGGCCTTGGTGGTGGTGGGAGGGGGAGGTCTCTTGTTGGACAGCTGTAGGTGTTCCCTTCCTGTTGCACTACTCTAGGGGGGCCCACCTCCTGCTGGGGGTTCTAGAAGTCTCCCTCCTGTTGGCCACTCTAGGGGTCCCCTTTTCCATGCCCTCTCTCCACAGTCTAGCCCAATCTCTCCCTGTCCCTGGCTTTTTAGCAGCCACTGCACCACTGGGCTGGACAAAGCTGAGGCCCAGCAGCTCCACTCTGTACTCCAGCCTGCGTGTACTGCTTTCYGTTAGTTCTGATTCCTGTATCAACGGGCGACACCATGACTAAAACCAGGATCAGGGTAGGCAGGACAGAGGCCCTGCCATAGAAAGCCACAATGGGGRGTGGGTAGAAACGGACAGATAAATAATTATAATAATGTGGAGAAACTGACCCGAGACCCATGTGAAAGTTAATAATCACAGAAGACCAAGCTGTCAGAATTGGGCCATGAAGGATGTAGAGGAGTTGGACTGCGGTGGCAGGGACAGGCTTACAGTACAGACCCAGAGTCTTCCTGTTCCCTTTCCATGATTACAAGAAAGGATGGCGATGGCATTGGCCTCCCTGTTCTGGAGGTATCTAAGATGCCAATGCTCCCAGCTGTAGCCTGCGTGGCACATGCTGAATGTATTTGTGGCCACTTCCAGGGGGACTTCTTGTGATAGGGTAGTACCTGGCAGATGATAGAGCCACTGAGAAAGGAAGGGGGGGCATAGGGGGATCTGCACCTACTGGCCAAGTGCCTGTGGTGGGCTGGAGGGATGGAGGGGAAGGGAGATGGATGCTAGAGGAGAAGGAGATGGCCATTATGAGGAGAAGCCCTTTGCAGGGGTGGAAGAGGTGGGGCTGAGGAACTGGGCATAGGGAAGAGCAGCCATCCTGGGGGCTGAGCCTTCCTGTCCTCACCACCTTCTGTATCTGTATCTGGGGCTGAGTCACTGGAATGGGGACCTGTCCTTTCTTTGGGTATTCTCCACCTCACCCTGTGGACTTGTGGCCAAGAAAGAAGGGCTTCTTCATCCCTGGCCCTTCCTGTTGAGCATCTGCTGAACAGCAGGTGTTTTCCTGCTGCTTTCCCTCTCACATGGCTGTGCAGCTGGTACCCCCAACCTAGATGCCTCCTGGTCCCCAGTGTACCTTTCTCCCTCCCTGTGGCAACTGCAACTATCCCTGCTCACCTTTCCCAGTCCGTGACTATCCTAGACCCTGGCTGACAGTGCAGGGGCAGCTCCAGAGCCTTCTACAGAGCTGAAAAGCAGGTGTCTGACCTGGGGAGGGCCACCTGAGCAGTACCCTGAACCATCCATCCGCTGTAGGATCTTGGTCATTTCATGCATGACCACTCTTCTGCTGCAGAAGAGTTGTGACTTGCAGGGATTTCTGCTTATGTCTTTACCCAGGTCGGCACAGCAACTGGGGGCAGGCTCTGCTGAAGGGAAGATAAGTGTGGACCTCCTCCCTGCTCCAGGGACAGGCTTCCCCATTTGGACCCGGTGTCCAGCATCACCTATCTGTTTCTCAGAGATGAATGTCCAGCTATGCAAACTTCCCACTGAGGGTCAGCCCACATGTGTGGTTGCATCCCTGGCACAGGGAAGCCTGGACTTCCTGCTTCCTTCAGGACCTGGCCCAGAACTTTTAGGGGGTGTCCACAGAGCCAATACTGCAGGCACCATGCCCTCTTAGGCACTGAGTGGGGAACAGGTCAGGTGGCAACTCAGGGCCCCTAACAGAAGCTCTCAACTCTTGATGAGCAAGAAGGGAATGTGAGGGTGAGCATTGGGTGAGGTTGGAGTGGGCAACAGCCACACAGCGGCCCCAAGAGGCCTTTCTGCTCTCTTATACAGACGAGGAAACTGAGACTGAGAGCTACGTCACCCTGTGCAACCAGAAGTGATGGATAAGAATTGAAACCAAACTAGGCATGAAGCTCACGGCCTCTCCCTTCTCCACTCTCTCTCAGGACAGTGTCATGAGTCAAAGCAATAATCCTTTCTTTACATTTTTTATAAGAAGGAATATTTTGAGAATGTAACTGTTACACATAAGTGAAAAAATCAAATAGAACCAAGAGGCTGCAGAGCGAGCAGCCTTCCCCACCTCCCAGCCCCTCCCGAGGTAGCCCTTGTCCCCTTTTGCAGATTGACTTTAAAAGGCGAAGATGCGGCTGGGCTGCCTGGGTAGTCACTGATGGGAAGGACCTGAGTCATTTTGAATGTATTCAAGGAGGCATAGTGTGTTCATTTACATTGTTACAAATATTGTAGCAGAAAAAAGAAAAAAAAAAGTGCTTGCTGCTTAAGAGACTTCTTTCTGGTCATGGAACCTCAATTTAGACACTGGGATTACTCAGGATGCCCAGTCCAAAGAGGGAGTGAGGTTGTGCTTTGAGTGGGGAGGCTGGGCACTTTGGGGGTACAGAGACAGAGGTCAGGTGTCATAGTAGTGGGCTCAGTCTGGCTCTGGGCTTCCTCCCTTTCTGGGCTTCAGGTCTCTAGAAGTAGAAATTCTTCTGTGTCAGTTTTGTGGGAAATGCCAAAGGCCTCTCTTGATGGCCACCATCATTTTAACCCACATTCCCAAGCTCTGATTCTTCAGTGTGACACCTCCAAGCTGTTGGTGTGTCAATGTCCCTGTGGTGCCCCACTCTGGACCTCCACAGCCTCTGCTCTGACACAAGGACAGTGGAATATTCCAGGGGACTCTCTCCTCTCACTTTGCAGTTTAATGATTTGCTGCTTCTCCCTCTCTCTCCAACCTTATGTGAGTCTCTGGGTCTGCACCAAATACCAATATATCTGCCCTTGGTAGCTGGCCTCTGGCCCTTTCTTTGAAAAAGAACTAACTAGGCCTTGTGCACTTGGTATAGAACACCTGAGGGTGGGAGATGGAAGGCCTGGGGGACTATCAGTTCATCTGACCCATAAGGATATTGAGTGGGGAGTTGAGTGGGGGCCTGGACAGCCTCCTCCCAGTGTTGTGGTGGCCCCCCTTCCCTGCAGCCTTGTCAGGGTGTTTGTCTGGCAGGAGCTGTCCGGAGGCTAGGCCCTGTCCTGCAGTACCCAGTGGTGTGGGAAGGGTCCAGGCTTCCTCCCATCACTGGCCATCTGCCCAAAGCCTGGCTACTGGCTGGATACTGAGTGTTTATGGGCGATTAATTGGCTCTCTCTTTCTCCCTGTCTGTTTCTGTCTGTCTCTTGCCCGGTATTCTCCTCCCCAGGGGGGCTTTCTCTGTGGTCCGACGCTGCGTCAAGCTCTGCACCGGCCATGAGTATGCAGCCAAGATCATCAACACCAAGAAGCTGTCAGCCAGAGGTAGGGCCCAGGGGTGTCAGTGTGGCCATGGTTGGGCTGGGCAGGGGCTTGGGAGGGCTGTGGACAGGGCAGTGGATCCCTCCTAGGCTTGGCCAGTGTTTAGCTTGGCCTGGCCAGCAGTTTCACACATGGATGGAGCAGACTTCAGAGTTCGTGGAGTAGAGGTTGTGTGTGTGTGTTTGGGGGTGGGYGGGTGAAGGAGTGCAGGAGTATTAAGGCCTTGAAGGCATCTCTGTCTGAAGGATGTGTGGGTCCTCATCCCCAGGTTCAGGATGCACCTTCACTCGTTGGTTGGGTGTCCCTGGAGTCCCCACATGGCCTCCCCTTCCCAAGTCTATTTGATTTCTGTTCTCAGAGCTCGAAGGATAGATGCTCCTGGTGCTAGGCACTGTAGTGCTTTTTCCCAAGGACTGTGGCCAAGGAGCAGCCCATGACTCCAGGTGAAARATAGGGCTGCAGTCAACGTCCACCCTCTGGCTCTGTGGCCAACTTGGCATACGACAGGCAGTTTCTTAACTGAGTCTTCTGAGCAGGAGAACAGTGCATCTACTTACCCTGGGGAGAGCTCTGAAGACTGCAGGCATGGGAAGAAAGGTCTTGCCTGGTGCTGGCCGGGGCAGCTCTGGTGCATCATGGGCCTCTCAAGACCTGCTGATGATGGAGCAGACAGATCTTTGTCCTCATGGGGGTGTTTTCAGGCAAGCTGACAGAAAACAAAACCAGAAGTCAGTCTACAGCAAGTTCCATGGTGATGGGGCACAGATCTGAATGGGGAGTGCGTGGACCCCAGGTAGGGCTCTGGATAGAGTCCCCAACATGGCAGGGCAGCAGGAATGCAGGTGTAATGGGTGGCTATCTCAGTGAGATGGCAGCACCATGTCACCCCTCCCCTCCTGGAACACTGCCAGCAACCCTGTTGAACATCTGGACACAAATTTTGGCTACCTGGGACCAGGGGGAGCTGCTTTTGGGGTGTGGGACTGGGTGAACCCTCTCTTGGGATTCTGCATGGGCTAGATGTGGACCACTGGCCATTGGTGAGCTCTGCTGGCCCCTCTTGGGCCTGCCTTGTGGTGGGGTGGGTGGGTGGGGCTGTGTTCCAGGGCCTAGGGCTGTGAGCTTCATTTTTCTCTGTCAAAACACAGAGCTGGGGCTGGGGATGTGGCTCAAGTAGTAGCGCACTCGCCTGGCATGCGGGAGGCACTGGGTTCGATCCTCAGCACCACATAAAAATAAAATAACGATATTGTATCCACCTAAAGCTAAAAAATAAATATTAAACGAAACAAAACACAGAGCTGGTTGGGAACCTGTGATGCTCAGGGTGATCCCACAACTAGTGTGGTGCCAGTTCCTGGGCTGTGGGTTTTCAGGCAGCCTCCCTGAGGCGAGGACACTCCCTTCTTGTCAAGGGCACCATGGAGAAGAGCTCTGTGATACAAAGCAGGCTGAGATGTGTGTGTACAAGTCTATGTGTGCCTATATGCATGTGTACACCTGTCTCTGTGTGTCTTTGTGTGCATTAGTGTGGCTATGTGGAGCTGTGTGTGCATGTGCGTGTGTGTACATAACTGTACGTATTTGTCAGCCTGTTGGAAACTGGGTGTTTTCTCCAGTGGAGCTTGCAGAATAGTTGGTCTTGCACTTAAGCTATGAGCAGCCCAGGCACAGTGGGGACTCTGAAGGGTCCTCCTAGTTCCTATGCAGGAAGATACTTCAGACACCCCAGGGGACTGCTGCAGGATGGATGGGAGTAGCCCAGGGGGCAGTAGGTGAGGTGAGGGAAGTGCTTTCTGAAGGTCAGCTTTGATGCGCTCTGGACATTGTCTAAGTGTGTTGTAGGTGGCAACAATGCTGGCTGGGGTGCTAGGTAGGCAGATGTTACCAAGAGCACGTGCCTGGGAATCACTGGCTGTCAAGAGGCCTGGCCAGGGTCCTGGAGCCTCTGAGTACACAGACCTTGGGATGGGCTGTTGTGTGTAGGATACAAGATGGGGAGCATCTCTCTGCTGTCCACTGCCCCTCTGTCTCAGGCTGGTGTGAATCAGTGTGGATTGACCCACAGCTTCGTGGGRATGCTGCTAGACTGAGCCCCAGGCACAGGGCTGACAAGCAAGAGTAGCAGCGAGCAGATCATGCATCAAGTGGTTGCCAAGTCATGAATGTGGGTAGTGGGGTGCTCTCTTCTGTGAGATGTAGATGGCAGGGTTGGCCTGCCCTGTGAGGGCTGGGCAGGATGGGGACCTGCACTAATATCCTAAGAAAAAGTTTAGATGAGCTGCTGGCCACTCTTAGATCTCTGTCCATCTAGGAGGGGTCCAGCAGTGGGATCCCTGAGCAGGTCTCAGCCAGAGCATACAGCTTGGAGTGGTGATGTGGGGTTTCCCTGTCCAGAGTGTCTTGGCTTTATCTTAGGCCCACATCTTGAGCTTCTGGGCAGCCCTGATTCCTGGGACCCTGCTCCCCATTTTAGGCCATGTGTGGAAGCCCTGGCTCCTATAGCCACCAAATGATCATGCAGAGGGATGAGCCCTTGTGTCCCTTTTACCTAGCTGTGTCTTGGGGGCCTTGTTTCCTTCATCAGCACGCATTGTAACCCCAGGCCCCTGAGTATGTGACTGTGACCCTGCCTCCATTTCAGAGTTAAGGAAGCTTCAAGTGTCCAGCTACCCAGTGCAGCCACTCTGTCCCACTCCCGGAATAAAGACACCAGGCCGAGCTCATGTCCTCCAGCCTCACAGTAATGTCAAAATTAACACTTACAGAGTGTTGCTGTATGCACAGTGCCAGAATTCAGGAAGCTTCCACATTCTCTGATGTTTGGTGGTCAGCATGATGGGGACACAGGTATAAAGTATGCTTGGGGTTTCTTTTGGAAGGAGGAACATGAAACTCAAGCACTTGGAGTTTCTTGGGTGCTTCACCTCCTCCCTTCTCCTGAGTGTTGTGGTCTTCATCCCTCCCTTTCTCAACTGTTTGCCACATTGTCATTTCATCTACCTGCGTCTGAGTCTGACATGGGTCACACTGCTGGCATGACCTGCCTTGTGCTCAGGGTGTGTCAGTGTGGTGGATTTGTTCCCACTGTCATGCGATGTTCTGTTGAACAAGGGCTGCTATTTTTCCAGCTCTATGTTGGCTCCTGACCACATTAGCAGGCCCACCAAAGTCCCACACACAGGCGATGCTCAATAAAACCTGTGACTGAATTGTTTGTCAAAAATGTTGGTAGCCAGCAGGACACGTTGGCACACACCTGTAATCCCAGTGGCTTGGGAGGCTGAGGCAGGAGGATTGCGAGTTCAAAGCCAGCCTCAGCAAAGGTGAGGCATTGAACAACTCAGTGAGACCCTGTTTCTAAATAAAATACAAAATAAGGCTGGGGATGTGGCTCAGTGGTCAAGTTCCCCTGAGTTCAATCCTGGGTACTCCACACCCAAAAATATTGATAGCCAGTCAATTTAATATTTTAAAAGCCCTTTTTATTAGCCTGGAAACTAGAATCCATAAATGGCTGGGATTTCTTCCTGACTTTTCATCCATCTGTGAGGGACAGCAGCTACCCTCATTCTCTCTGGGTCCTCATAGGGGTCTCCWGAAGCCCTGTCCACTCAGATAAGTGGCCCCAAATGCACATCCCAAGGAGACACATGTGTGAGCCTGTCCCTGTGTGGTCCTGGCAGAGCCCCAGCACCGTGCTGCTGGCCTCTTCTGTGAGTCACCTTATTCCTGCCAGCTTCTCAGCCTAAGGACCATGTGATGCATCAGATACCAGCCTCCTGATCCTTCTGCACTTTCACTATCACCTGCAGGCTTGCTCAAGGCCACAGTGTGCCCAGACAGACCCTTACTTATATAACAGCTTTTTACCAAGGACATGGTGATGCCAAATACACCCCGAAATAGGCAGCTATAGCCCATTGTGCCTGGGGGGGGGCAAGGGGGGTTCCCAGGAGATTGGACAGTCATCTAGAAGTTACATTGGATGGGACTTGAAGGAGTAGGAGTTTCTTAGGCTCAAGCAGGAAACCATCTGGGTATAATTCCATGGCATTAGGCATTTCCTTTAAATTGAACCCACACCCCCTATATATACCCTTAAAGTGTACCACAAGTTGGAAGGATTGAGAAAAGTAGAAATCTGAAACCCTAGGCATGCATGTTTTGCTCTTTCTTACTCCCCTGACCTCACCTTGCAAGTGGCCAGCTTGCCTGTACTGCTTCCTGACCAATAATGCCCAAGACCCCTGCGAACCACGTAGGCTACTGGGATGAGCTGCCTGTGTGCAGTATGGGAATGCCAGGCCATCCTCCTGCCCATTGCTTCTCTCAAGCCCTGTGCCTGGCCACATTTTCATTTGATACAAGCTGGGCTGGATGAGGGGGCAGGGCTGGAATTCTGTGTAGCCACAGGCCATCCTTCCCTACTGTCTTCCTTCCCTACTGTCTTCTTCCTGCACAGTCACTCTCTTAGGGCCAGGGAAGTTCCCTCTCAACAGGGCAGGCTGACCCTTGCTGTTTTATCCCCTCCAGATCCTCCCACCTTTGTCCAGCCCTGCCATTTTCTTGGGCATTTTTTTTGTCCTATTTAACTTTGTATCATGGAAAATTTCTGAAATTCCCAAATACAGAGAAAATAACAGAATGATTTTCAGCTTTAGCGTTTAGCAGCTCTTAGCCAGTTTTGTTTGTACCCCAGAACCCAGACCATTTGGCATCTCATCCATGTTTCAGCATGTGTTCCTAGCAGAAAAAGGATTCTAAAAACATAGCCACAGTTGCATTATCCCTCCTAAAACCAGCAGTAATTCCTTATCAAATGTGTATCAAATTATGCATCCCTGTTTCTGTTTCTAATAGTTCTCTGGTTTTGCCAGAATTGCAGGCCGAACCTTACAGCTAGTTGTAGGCTCCTGGCACTAAGGCCTTCCTCCAAGAACATCCCTGAGTGGCTGCCTTATCACAGCTGTTGGTCCCAGTGCAGCCATATAGACAATGCT